TTATTATTATTATTAAACTGTATTTTATAGAGCGCCTCTAAAGGTGGCTTCTCACAGCGCTTTATAGGACGAGCACAACAATAAAACAAGATTACACACCAGCTCAAACACAATGACAGCACACAGAGGAGACTGGGGGTGGTGGTACTGGGAAGAGCAGAGGGGTGAAGGACAGAACCAGTTCAGAAGTCATCTGGCTGCTGGGAGCTCACAGGGAAGGTTTTCCAGCTTTTTTTTCCCGACGGCTGGAATCTCTCTCCCTCATCGGACCTTTTTTTTTCCCTTTTATCTGGAGGAAGAGGCCGGTTCACACGCAACTCTGACTTTTTTTTAAAAAAAAATTATTGAACGGATAAAGAATTTAGAAATACAACTACAACCAGAGGATCAGAAACAGGTACAAGAGGAAAAAAACAACATTTAACCGCCAGAGCTCATGATGCCAATCGTGTGATCACATTGTATTTTTTTACATCTATTATGTTTTCCTTGCTTTATTATTTCTCAGAGTTTTTATAGACTGTAAATAGTGTTTCACCTCCACCTCAGAAGTACTAAAAGGGGGGGATTATTAGACCATTTGGATTTATGGATGTGAAAGTTACCCAGAATGACTAATAAATTAACTAGAAATAAGTGCTCTCTTTCCAAATTTTCTATTACAACGGTATAATAAAATATCAAAATCCTTCAATCTAGAAAACACCTTTAACTGCCTGCAAACAAACAGAACTCTGCAAGTCCATCCAAAACAGCTTCATTATGAACAAATAAACGCATCAAAGTTTCCCCTTCAGCACGACACAGAACACACACCCAGATCCTCCCGCCCATGCTAACACTGAGAGAGCGCTAACTGGACCGGCTGAAACTTCTGCACAACTTGAAAAGCAGCTCCGACTGTTGCAGTGTACTGTTGTGCGTTTGATCAATAAACCTTGATTTGATTGGACTGACGTGACATCACGCCGCTCGCATATTGAAGATACTCCGGACTCGGCGGTCCCTGCCTTGTCCGAGTGGGCGAATCTCCCCACGTTATATACGGTTTTTAAAAAAGGTTCAGCTTCTTTCTTTTTTCTTTAAAAAAAGGGCTAAATTCATTCCTGTACCCTGGACACCTGAGACGACTGCTCTTGGTGGCACAGCCCGGCTAGCTCAGTCGGTAGAGCATGAGACTCTTAATCTCAGGGTCGTGGGTTCGAGCCCCACGTTGGGCGGCGTGGTCTTTTGCTCTACCTGAACCGGATCGAGTTAATTCCTGTGCGTCTCACACTCCCACGGTGTCCGAGGTTGCTATCGCGACCTAATCGAGCCCAACACGGATGAAAGCACCCCTTTCCCCTCGTTTTTGGCAGACCCCTCAAAGCCTCCTGCGTCCGAAACCGACGCGCCAGGGGCTCTCGGACACGCAGGAACCGCCGTGGAAAATCTGCCCCGTGTGATGGATCACCCGGGATTCCACCCGTGATCTACCGAGCGCGCCGCCAGACTCCGGGTCGCCAGACAGTCACTGAAACTCGACAACAAGCCCGGCTAGCTCAGTCGGTAGAGCATGAGACTCTTAATCTCAGGGTCGTGGGTTCGAGCCCCACGTTGGGCGGTAGCGTCTGTTTTGTTACCAGGTATTTCATGCGCCGAGTCTTAACACTGGAATTTTCTGAGCGCTATTATTTTTCTTAAAAAAAAAACAGGCGCTGTGCTCATTAATAATCCCGGGGTGTCTCTCGAGAAGAGTAGGGGTGTTACCCCAGTGTGCTGGTCAAATACCCCCCTGGTCTTGACCCATCATGGCCTCCTAATCACCCCCCTCTCTGAACTGGCTCCATCCCTCTGCTCTCCTCCCCACTGAGAGCTGCTGTGTGGGAGAGGACTGGTGCTCTCCAGTCTAGTGTCCCCCTCACCCCTCACTATACTGGGGCACTAGGACCCACACAGAGCGCCCCCTGCTGGCCCCACTGACACCTCCCCCAGCAGCAGCCTGACCGGACTGGTGCTCTCCAGTCTAGTGTCCCCCTCGCCCCTCACTATACTGGGGCACTAGGACCCACACAGAGCGCCCCCTGCTGGCCCCACTGACACCTCCCCCAGCAGCAGCCTGACCGGACTGGTGCTCTCCAGTCTAGTGTCCCCCTCGCCCCTCACTATACTGGGGCACTAGGACCCACACAGAGCGCCCCCTGCTGGCCCCACTGACAACTGGAGGTTGTCCAGGTGGGGGTACACACAGGTGGGGGTGGAGGGGATCCCCATAACCTGTAAAGCGCTTTGAGTGGAGTGTCCAGAAAGAGTAAGCAATTATTATTATTAATTAACTCCAGCCTGACCGGACTGGTGCACTCTGGCAGAAGTATGTATTTTTTTAAAAATGTTCACACCGCCGTTCACTCAGGATATAACACACACACAAGCGGAAACCTTTTTTTTTGTTTACTGGCTGAGGGCCATATCGCCATGGTGTTTGTCCACCGAAAAGGTTGTTGTTGTTTTTTTTTCCGCACGGCGTTTCGAGGCGTAGACAAACAAACAAACCGCTTCCTCCTCAATCCTCAAAGACAGTCAGAAGAGAGGAGGGGGGGCCGAAGCGCTACTCGTTGGAACAAAAACGCAAGAAAAAACAGAAAAACAGACGCAGGTTTTACCTGTGCGGTCTGTACACCTGCGGAGCCGTCTCCATGGAGCCGAGAGGAGGGAGGGGGGGGTGACGTCACGCCTACGTGCTGCCCGTGACTCCCGTCTCTCGCGGTATCTGCCGCACCGGCCCGGCTAGCTCAGTCGGTAGAGCATGAGACTCTTAATCTCAGGGTCGTGGGTTCGAGCCCCACGTTGGGCGGCGTTGAATTGTTTTATTTTGTGTTTTTTTTTGTTACACCCACCCCAATTCAAATCAAAATCAAATCAAATCAAAGTTTATTTATCAAACGCACAACAAGACGGCGGGCAGCAGTAGTTGCTGCCAATGAAATGTCTTTTTCTGCGAGCTCCCAAAAGCCACAAGAATCACAGAAATCACAAAATTCACAAAGACACAAAAATCACAAAATTGAGGTTACATTATTTTTAACTGAATAAAACTCAATATGCGTAGAGCTGTTATGTGTCCGTGGTGTATGCAATTATATACATGTAGTGCAGTTATGGTGAATACAGTGAAAACTCTTTGTCCCTGTAGCCATTACAGGTGATTTGCTGAAGGAGCTGCAGCTTGGCTATTTAGCAGTCTTGTTGCCTGAAGGTATTTCATACGCCCTGAAAACACTGAAATTTTATAAGTGATTGGTTATTTTTTTTAAGAAAACAGTGACTAAAGGGAAGCTCTGAGAAGGTTTGTGAAGCAGGTATGTGGTACAAATTAGAGAT